GTTAGTAGAGAAGAAGTTGACTCGATCGCTGGGACAATACGTTTATTCACCTGACGTTTCGAAATCTGTTGCCGATTTGTCATCAGGGACAAAAATTAAAGAGCAGTAGCAGATACAGGTAGCATATGCACAGGTAGCATATGCACGACAATTAACCGTAATTGCTTTCTTGCGTGTAGTTAGTCCGTTGAACGGCATACGGGCTCTGACCTGCTGTGCTTTCATCACGCGTGGTTGATTCGGGCGTGATTATTGCTCGGCCATCTGGCCCTGTGGTGTTGGCGTATGAGGACGCGGTGGCCTGTCCGTTTCCAAAGCGGCGACTTGCTTTGGCCAAATTGAGTCTCAAAACCGAACATGGATTGAGCAAATCGTTGCACTTGTTTGCGGATCGGGAGCCCGTAAACCATGACTCAAGTAATTCTCGGCTCATCCGATTGTAACCTCTTGCGAGAATTTTGGCCTCATCAAAATTGAATGTGTGGCCGGATTTCGTCGAATGAGCCGCAACTTGAGAATTGGCAGCGATCGAGTCGTCTTCTCGATTACTTCCTGGGACTCGCATATTCGCTTGTGTTGGCAACAAATATAGTATTTCCATTTCAGGATTCTCAGTCTAGATACTGGATGGCGTATGAGGGCAATAGCGTGGATCTGTTTTCTGGATTAACTTCGTTTATTCTTAATCGCAAAGCGCATATACATATGGTTCCACCTACCTCACTGCATAGTGAAAAATAAAGTTTTTGTTGCTGGATTATAATCCTTTTGCATCTTTTATTGCTGCGTTCCGACTTTCCTTGCCATAATCAAAGAATCATCAGTAGCGAAATCTACAAATGCTCGCTTAGATGAGATACCTGCTTATTGCAGACAGAATGTATTCCTTGCCACAGTGCAGCAAAATACATAAAACAGGAGGAGCGTCCTGCTAGTCTTTGAAGTAATCTCTTCTGTTTTTGGGATTGCTTTTTTAAACCTAAAATACCTTTCCCGTACCAATGAGCGACAGAAAAAAAAGAAGTGATGTCAACTTTGCAGCTGAATGTAGCGTTTTGGCAACTTCTTCTTCTGCAACTCATTACCAGAGGACTAACGCTGGAAGCTGTATGATATGAGCATTAATCCGCTTAAAGCATCCTGAGCTATACTGCTTGCACTAATTGCGGAACAGTGAGTGCTCTCTGTATGAGAATAAAGATAATCGCGCGTTTAAGAAGCCCAAGTTTCTGTTAATTTATGCAAACAACAATGATTCATAACCGTTTTGTTTACAAGGGTGCCATTCCCAACGGGTGCCATTGAATTGTGTCCCTTTTTCTGTGTATTTAACTTTGAGATGAGAAGAAGACAACTCAATCACTGGGACAATACTTTTATTCGCCTGACGTTTCGACACCCGTCGCGGATTCGTCATCAAAAACATTAGCAGAAAACCATAGGAGAAACGGCGACACCTGGCCCTTTTAGGAGGAGAGGTAGAATAAGATGCAAAAGTAGTTTAAGTAGCGCACTTCGAATACCCCTAGTCCCAGCACCTTGTCCGACGCCAACGGTGGTTATAGGGGAAATAGGATAGGCAGTGAAGGCAATTTGTTGAAGTAAGTGGAAAATGGAAACATGTAGTTGCATTTGTTTGCCGCGGCCGCTGGGAGCAAGTTGTTCCGAATGTAAATTGAAGGTGTGCGCGTCGTCTAGCGCCGCGGAATATACTAATCTAAGTTAAGAATGGTAAGTCGGACCTCAAGTAAGTTGACGTAGACGACCTCCTAACCACCATTCTTTTTTCAGGAATTCCAAGAAACCTGCAATTTGATAATCGGGCTTTTCCGCAATACGTTAAAGGATAATATATATTAGAACAATTTACAGATATAAATCAACAGGAATTTTAAATACAATAAAATAAAAATGCGTATAGTGGTTATTAAAGTATATTCCACTGCCTATCCTAACTCTCCACCCATAAAACCCCTATCACCACGGTTTCCGTAGGACAAAATGCTGGGACTAGGGGTATATGAGGTGCACTACATAAACAACTGTTGCCATGTAGAATATCCGGATTTTCAAGGAAAGGCTTGGACTCATTATCTGCTTCTGGAAATTATTTTCGATCTCTTGCTTTGAAATACGGCGGTTTCTGTCACCGAAACGTTTGTAGAGTGGACTTTATTTCTACATACTTTTCACAGAGTTTCCCATTTTAACTGACAGTTACAGTGACCGTATGCAGTAAGTTCGTGAAAAATGCATCATCTGTCTATGTTTCCTACGAAACGTGAAAAAAGTTATTGGGAACTGACATGTCAGTTTTTGGAATAGTTATTTCTTTAATCTAGGATCTTGTATACTGAAGGTTTGAGCCACGGTGCCAGTAAGTTTTGGTTAAGAATTCCCATATTGAATCAAGTTTGCGATTTCTGTCGTCTGTAAGTGGGACTTATCAGCATCAGATAGAACCAGCATTCCTCAGTCAAGTCTGATTCTGCATTTATCTGTATGGTCCTTCCTAAACATTCAGCGGCCGAAAAAAAAGAAGTGATGTCAACTTTGCAGCCAAATGTAGCCTTTTGGCAACTTCTTCTGCAACTCATTACTAGAGGACTAACGCTCGAAGCTGCATAATATGAGCATTAATCCGCTTAAAGCATCCTGAGCTATGCTGCTTGCGCTAGTTGGGGGCATCGAATGCTCTGCGTGAAACGCAAAATAATCGCACGTTTACGAAGCCCCTGTTTCTGCTAATTTATGCAAACAGCAGTGACTCATTACCGCTTTGTTTACAAAGGAGCCACTTAATTTGTGTCATTTTTCGTCTCTTTGAGACGACTTTTACGGAGACACCTGAGTATTTTAAGAGCAAAGATAGTGTAGGATGCCCTACACGTGTGCTTCTGGGAATCAAGCTGGATCAATGTCTTTTGAAGTACTGCGATTTTTTTTAACTTGGACTTTATTTCTACTTTGCACAGAGTTTCCCATTATACGTGAAGTTGCAGTGATTATATACTGGAAGAGCTGTGAAGAAGTCATTGGGGCTGACATGACAACTTTTGCAACAGTTATCGGCAGCCTTACTTTAATCTTAGATCGGGTATACTGAAAGTTTGAGACGTGGTACAAATATGTTTTTGTTTAGAATGCCCCATTGAGCCAAGGGTCTGATTTTTGTTGTCTGTAACTGGGATTATTTGGAATTAGATGGAAACAGCATCTATCAGTCAAAACCGATTCTGTTATGCAACTAGAATATAAGTCGTACCAGCTTTCCATACCTAACATTCTGCCATGACGATCTGGGATTTCAATTTGAGCCGAAGTCTGCGGCAAATGAACTCAAACTTATGTTCTGTATTACGTCTTACCTGTTAGTGGATTTAAACAGTGTTCCGCTCGCCATGCATCATTTGCATACATCCACAACCAATCAGCGTCCTAAACAGGGCTATCCATAAGCCCTTTTTTATTTGAGGAAAAATCGATTGCTATGCTGGAAGATTTCACGACAGTTTGTATACAACAGTCTAATGCCTTTTCATTAATTTTCTGGCCAATCTATTATTCCAGTTTTTTTGGGGAAAGTTTAATTTAGGTTCCAGAATTGTTTAAATAATCTAACATTTGGCAAATAAAGGTGCGCCATAATTAGTTTATTTGTAGTTAGAGTTTATTTTATTTTTTTCTGTTTACTTTTAGTTTTCTCTTAAGTTGGTTAATATTTTTATTTTTGCGTGCTGTATTGGAACCTTAATTAAACTTCTACCCAGCTTTTAAACAAAGGTTAACCAGTGGAGAGAAAAAAAGCCTCCGTTTTAGCAGTTGGTAACTGGTTTAATTGGGAAAGTTTTCTTGCAGTTACAAAAGATGCTATAGCAAATTGTCAGAGGTAAAAATTGTAGTTCTATAACCCTTGAGGGCGAAAGTCGACTTTGCAATCCGATTGTGTATTCCAGTATATACACTTTTATGTGTCTGCTGACTGACCTATTTTGTGTATTCTGTTAATCATAATGATTCGCTGTTCGATATTTCTTCGAAATATAGGATATGTCTTATTATTTAAAAGTAGGCTGTCGTTAATGTCTTAGGAAATTCTGCAGAAAACCTATTCAAACACAAACGCTGACCTTCTTAATATATCTTGTTATTTTTCCATCGCAGGCTTCAGCTATACGAAGAAGAGGCTTCCCATGACCGTCATTCGGCCCGCGATAACGATCTTTCGGTCAGGCAAATGGGCACTTTGGACCATTCTGCGACAGAGACCGCACCTGACAGCAGCACTCTACCAACTCACTCTGAAGGTCTAAAGACAATTCTCGCGGCCGAGAAGGAAACGACACTCTATGCGATCTCCACACTGCTACCTCCCTGGACTCAAGTACGAGTTTCTGCAGTGAAGCCAACGCGAGACCGTCATAAGTGCCAGTGTATCGGCCGCCGAGGCTTCCGTTCATGGATACATACCTTCTGGAAGCGTTCCTTCAGTCGTGATTGGCGAGTCGGATGCGCGCAGCGGGCAGATCAAAAAGTGACTGTGGCTTTCCTGCGCGTAATTGACAACGTTGGCGAGATACCGCATGCTGCCCACATCGCTCTGTTGATGCATTCCAGGTAGAGGTCGCAGCTGATATAAATCATACCTCACGATTATGTTGATCTAAATATATGTTTTCTTGGCCAGAGACCAAATTGCGGCCTCTGGCACACTGACTAGTGCCAGTCATGTTTGATCTCACGCCAGGTTCTGCAGACTTAGCAACTAAAGCTCAAACATTAGAATTGAAACACCGTTCTTCTATCTAACCTGTGAACATTAAATGAAATGAATAGCAGTGACAGTTATGGATATTGACCGTTACTTTCATCATCGCCGACAAAGAAAGTAGATGGGGAAATTTCTGACACCAAATTATATTTAGGCTGACGTTTCAAAAACATCCTCGCTTTCATCGTCAGAGCGTACTGTCTTTTCTCCTGCCGGCGTCGAATGAGTGTGTCTTACCGTTAGCCTCGTGCTATAGCCGTGCCTGATGCACACGCGTCGATGGATTGTTGGTGGCTGTTTAGATTGTTCTCGTTCTCGCGGGCGCCTCCAAGAGAAGATGCGCCACGCCGTTCGGGTGCCTCCTGATGGTTTCGACCTCCGACTGTCGGCCCTGCGTATCTTCCTTCGCCCGACCTTTTGCTCCGTTCTGAGTGGAATTTAGCCTTGGGCGGAGCGCTTGGTAGGTGAGATGAAGGTCGATGGCCCTGTTAAGTGTGCCAGTCGTGGACCACTTTTCTAGCAGCAATCTGTCCATCTTGTCATTCGCTCGGCCTACTACCCTGACTTTCTCAAAGGCGAACGTTTGCTTCTTCTGTTGTACGTGGTCATAGACAACATAAAGCTTATCCTTGCGTTTAATTGCGAGCTGATGCTCATGCAACCTTGTGTCAATGCGTTTGCCCGTTTCATCAACATACCTAGCATCGCAATTTT